TATATATATATATATATATATATCAGTTAGACTGTTTTAATTCTAAAGCAACAACAACAGAAGTGTGGGTCTTACTACAAAGTAAAGATAGTAAGAAGGAAAAATATAAAATTCTTGTGTGGTACTGGTACTAGTAGTATTACGTACAAATCACACAAGTTTATCATTCTAAATACTGAATCATATTATTATTCTTATGAACTAAATATAAAATTATGCTAAATTATTGAACTTAAAACTACTAATTTAAATGCAAAAGAATATAAAAAATCACAAACTCTTTCAGTTCAAAGTGCTAAACCTAATTCACGTACAGACCTTGCACTCGCCACTCGATAGCTCTTAACCATAACAATCATAGATCAATATATATTTCCTAAAAATATATCTATTTGGAGTTAATTTTTTAATATAATGATTAATATAAATAGATATACGATACAGCATGACTTAAACTACTATAGAAAAATAATAAAATCCCATATATCCCATGCAGTTTTTTCCAGAAGCAAGTTTTCTAAGGCTTATAAAAAAAGTACTATTGACCAATACTAAATACAACCTCTACATAAAAAGGCAGTTACTATAATAAGCACCACCCACATTCCTATTGTAAAATCCAGAGAACAATGTTTCGTCCCATCCTATGATTTGCCAAACGTGAAATACAGCGATTGGAATAACATGGTACTGAAATTGACACCTTTGACTAGGATTGGCTAAAAGTTTTACAACTGAGGTTTAACCTGTCCAGATGCTGTTTTATGAAGAAAACAGACTAGAAAAAGGTTTAGATATGAATCATAGATGATAGAACCAGTGCTGAAGTGCAAGGAAATTTTGTTTTTAAATTTCTTCTCAGAGAGCACTTATTTATAGTCTCAAACGTATTTTGGGATATTTTAAATTAAAATTCTCTTTAAACTTCATTAAATAATAAAATTTTGTACAAATAATTTAATGTTATGCTAATATTTACAAAAATAAAATCTGAAATCCAATAAAAGACAGTTCTCTATAATTTTTTTCAATTCTCAAAAGTGATTTTGCCCTCACGATAAGACAAAATGGCCACGGCAGGTAACGGGTTAAGGTAAGAAAGGAATTTGGAATTGTGACTCAATTGTTCAAATAACAAGAAAGTGTCATCGATTTAGCATTTGTAAAGGGCAGGTTTAAAGTCACATGGGTAGTTTTCTAGCCACTTGCATTCATGGTAGCATATAAATCTATTGGCTATTGTTGGACCCATAAATGACATTATTAAAGAGGAAATGGTTTAATTTTGTAGAGAGGGCAAGAAGTTCCAAGATTTTTTACAGGTGAAACCAAGATACTGATCAGTGTCAGAAGGAAATAGAGATGTCATGTCATTATTTACAGCAAGTTTAGAGTAGCATTAAACATGTTCACTTTTGGCACAATTTTAATTATCAATTAAAATGCCAATTGTTTTTATCATATATTATTAATCTAATTTTATCTTATCTATGTTCTTTTTATATCTATTTTCCATACGTAAATAAACAGTTATTTTATTTAATTGATTGCTTTAATAATCTTTGAATCCACACTTGTTCAGCATGAATACCTTCTTGATTAGTTGATCATAATGCTCCCCCATCTATAGCACTCTCAGGTGCACATGGCTCTCGATGGTAGCATTATAATGAGGCAGCACCATATTATGCATTATATTTATTTCCTTCATAACTATCAAATAAATTTCTACTAATGCATTATAGTAATAATTAAATATCCATGGTATCTCAAAAGTTAGACTATGAATTAAATCAAAAACTTTAACTATCCGTCTTAAAAAAAAATCCTTTAAAATAATGGTCTATTCTATATATTGAAATGAAAGGGCCTCTTACAGTATACACTTGGTAAACAGCCACATTCCTATCTTTTGCAGTCTAAATAACAGTACATAACTTTAAAAGCTACATTTATTTTTTATGGTATATGAATGTCTCACAAAATACAATACATTTTATTTAACTGTAACCAACGTACAAACTAAAAGGTAAAATACACTTATTCTGTAACTCTTAAAGTGTACTAGTTTTCTTTTAGTTCTACAAAAAAGTAACTAATCAGAACATGTAAAAGTTATGATCTCAGTTACATATAATATAATGCTTTTCTTTTACATATGCAGTAATATGAAGCTGATAACAGTTAATAACGTTTATTTTGATGATTTCATTATACCAAGAGTTATCAAAATATTCAAGTGTTATAATAGCATAAGGAAGTAAATTCAAAAGTGATTCTTGGTTTGAATTGATAATATGATCTGTAAAGCATTTGAACTAGGATAAATCTCCATGAAGACCTAGTCTATATTTCAGAAAAATGTTCAATGTTTCTTAAACATAAAATATAGAGAAGGTAAAACAAAAGGTAGTTAGTTTTGGAGGCTATACTATTAACACATTTTAAAATAGTTGCATGAGAGAAAATAAGATAAGCTTTTTCTTCAAATAAATTTTACTTGAATCTGAAAGAGGTGTACAATATAATTTAGATAGAAACAGATGACTCCATAGTTGGTAGAAAACCAACAGAAGGTTAAGGTTGTAATAAAACAATAGTGGACCCCGAAAGCTTCCAATTTAGTTAAAAACAGTAAGTAAAGTAAAATAAAGAACAGGTATATGCATCAGCCTTGTAAACCATGGTAAAGAATAACATTCAATAATAAAAAAAGAAAAACAACATAAAGTTTAGAAATAAAATAATTTTTTGCCTAAAGTGTATTCCTTGGAATCCAATAGTGTTCAAAATTCACTTTAATAATTCTACCAGTTCTGTGTAAGGATCTTTGAATATTAAACATATTAGGTTTATTGCACAGTAATATTAGAATGAAACACAGTAAAACTTGTAATAATGCTTATATATAGGAAGTAAATAATTAATATGCAAGTGTGATATCCCAGTAAAGTAACTGAGTAGAGACTATGGAACTAAACATTCTATAAATTAAATGTGCTAACAAAATACCATAATAATCTACACAATTGGAAGTAACAAAGAAATCTTTAAAGTTTAAATAATGTGTTAGATTGTACGGTATAGGTCCAAATGTTAAAGGTAGGTCTTTAGATCTAATTCTGTAATTATTTAACAATCTAAAAACTTAAGGAGCTACAAGACTACTCAAAAGGGTAAATAATAAGCCATAACCTATGAGTTATGTCAACTTACTATCACAGATGGCACTATTACTATTAGTATTACTATTGTATATAAATATGATAAAATTAAAAAGACAATTACCTGAATGATGATGATTATTTACATAGATAGAAACTTACAAACTGAACAAGTTCAGCATGCTTGGCTTTCCATAATAAAACTAAATTGTTTGTGCAAAACATTGACTACGCTTTCTCTCACTATTCTATTTCTACTCTAGTTTCACGGTCATACACTGAATCCGTGAATGATAATGCTATACTACTACTAGTTACTTTCATACTTTTATATATATATATATATATTTTCGAATTACATTCAATTAAGTATTGCTTCGACAGGTTAAATTTACAGTATAATATATACTTCAGTTCTGAAGTTTTACACAACTCAGTATTAATATTACTTCTACTGCTATCGTAGTATTGTTACTAAGTTATTAGTAAAACGCAACTGCCTTCAATCAATTCGGGGTTACATTACTGAAGTTATGTATATTATTTAATATTTGTAAAAATATCGAATTCTGAAGAGATAGGAATGTAATAAAAGTAATGAATATTTTAAGATACTTTACAAAATATCCAGGTATTATATTTTGAACATAACTGCCGAAATTCTATTAAAAAAAAAAGAAACAAATCTCACCACGAAAGATCAAACTCCATTATCGGCTAACTAAGCGCCACCTATGACGCAGTTATAGACCGATTTTATGCGCCATCTGTTATGTCACGTTAAATATTGTTAATTTCTGAATTACTATTTCTGTAATGAATGAAATCTTATTTTTTATTGCTTTTAAATTTATTTCGAATTTTGTTGATATAAATATACAGAAGTGAACGAAATACATTTGATTTTAAAGCTTTTATTTTGTACTCCCAGACATGTTTTTCGCATTAATCTATAAAAGCTATTTTTTCTACGTACATTCAAAGACAATATTTAATCTGATCAATAAATTTTCATAGAAGTGAAAACCTGTAATTTTGGTATATAATTTGTGAAGCCTAAAATATCAAAAATAATTTTAAATATGATCTGATTAAGATAATTAAAAAGCAGTAATTTAAGTTAGCTAATCCCCAGAAAAGTAACACTTTATATTTAAACCAATATTAATTTCATCTATGACTGTCACTGCAAATATGACCCGTAGAAGACGATGCCAACTAAAACTAAGAGTGATAAAAACAATGGTGAAGTTTCTCGGTACTCATCGGAACTCTATACCGGTTCATTTGGTTCGTTTGTTTATTACGGATTTCGCGCAAAGCTACACGAGGGCTATCTGCGCTAGCCGTCCCTAATTTAGCACTAGAGGGAAGTCATCACCACCCACCGCCAACTCTTGGGCTAATCTTTTACCAACGAATAGTGGGATTG